TTCACCGATCTTAACACATTTCAGGGGATCCTGACCTCGCAGAGCACGCCCCTCACCGAGTCGCACGTCACGTCGTTCCAGCACGGATACGGCTCCCTGGGCTTCAGCTTGGATCGGAGCCTGTACGTCCCGCCGTCGAACCCGGGCCTCACGGCGTTGATCACGAGCTCGGGGCACCGCTCCGTCTCGCCCTTCCAGAAGTGGAAATCCGGCTGGCCGTCGCACCAGTAGAGAGACGCGGTCTCCATGATCGAACCTGCTCGAAACGGCGAACGAAAGTTTTCGACGACGACGCGAGGAACCCACACAAAAAAAAAACGGAACCGACCGTCGACCCAGGTGTAGATCCCGTCCTCGTCGATGTCGTCGGCCCCGAGCCAGGAATCCTCGATCCCCATGTGCCGAGCGATGCGTTCGTGCCAGTCCTGCCCCTGGTTGTCCATGACCACATCGCCGCCGACGTCGACCCTACATTGATCAGTCGCCGCGCCGAACGAGTGGAGCCCTTGCAGATTCCGCAAGAAGTGAATGTGATTTTTCGTCACCATGGCGAAGGAGTAGCGTTTGGGGACGAGGGCACCTGGGAAGATAAAGTTATCTCAAGGATTATCTCAGGGGTTATCTCAAGGATTATCTCAAGGTTAAGATCCAATCGATTTCAGATTTCTCACGGTCGTAATAAAGGACAGAGGTGCCATCGGAGTCTTCCACCTCGAATTTGGACTCCTTGCCTCCGAGCCGACACGTTTTCATCCCAGTTTTTGGATCAGTCTCCAGAGAGAACATTTTGCATTCTGGTTCCCTTAGAGATAAAAAAAAAAGAGGAAACGTTCGCGTTGTCCAGGACCGGAAAGCCTCTCACCCCACGCAATAAAGTTACCTTGCGCATGACTGGTCGCAGGGGTCGACGCTCAAGGCCTCCACCCGAATCGGGTCGATGATCCTGGCGCTCACGTTGCGGACGCGATCGTAGAACATCCCCCTGGGGATCGGCGGGGATGTCGGCTTTTCGGGGGATGGCGGGGGCGTCGGCGGTTTGGCGGATGCCGGAGTCGGCGGCGGTCGGGTCACCCGAACGGGCGCGTGAGAGGCCTGGATCCACCTGATCCAATTCACGAATCTGAAGAAAGGGAAGCGGAAAATTTTTTCCCGTGTCGGGAACGATGCAAACCCTTACGAAAGAGTCCCATAGGAATCCATAGGAATAGATTAGGCTTTCTTTCGTATCTGTATGGTTGCAATAGGGATCTCGTAAGTCTAATTGGGCACATAATTTCCAACACGGAGCCACAATAATCCCAAGGGAATGTATTGGAATCCACTAGATCTTCTCAAAGACCTAATGGGACCCAACTTGGAAACTCATCGAATTTTATGTTTTCGACATGCCCCAAGCCCTAGTGGAAAGGTTGCTTCCGAAAGCATGCTGTTACAGCTGAGAATTGTTGCAGACCACTGAGGGACTGAAGATTTCTTTCAGGCTACCTGTAAGACGCAAACATTCTCGCGGGACTTTTGAGATGTTCCCAGATTCCGTGACGAGAAATGCTAACGCGTTATTATTATTCCCAAATTTAGCGAAAGGTAGTAGTCTCTTCTTGCTTGAGAGGATGAAATGATTCTTCCTCCACTGATCGATCTGGTCGATAATCGATAGTCTTCAATTTTTCACCGAATGATCTCATCTGAACGCTAATTTTTAACCTTCCCAGCGTTGCGAGGGCATTGCATCTGACATCAATTCAATATTTAAATGTCGCTTATCGCAATTCACTGATGAACGCTGAAGTCCAACACTGGTTGAACGTAGTGTCAACATTGCGATGTCATTTCTTAAGGGATTAAGGGAGTGCCATACGCAGGTTCCGTTTGCGAATTTCCTCCATGCCGAATTCACCATGAAGCACGAAGTGGTAGATTTTCTCCTACACCAGCTATGATTAGTGCATATCAAACCGTGCATTATTCTATGGCTCCTGCCCATCCATGGGAAAACTATTACTCGGTAATGCTTTTAGAACAAAGAGCAGCGCCAATATAGGCCCAACATTGACTCCGGTAGTCATCCCATTTGGT